GAACTGATATGAGAGGAGAGGTTGAATTAGTTTTGATTGTGTTCACTGGAGCTCAGAAGAATGAGGGTAGGATCTTGTAGAAACCTCTGAAAGTCTAACAATACTAAACAGGGTAAATGCAGTAAAGATGACAGTGGTTACAGGGAGTCCAGAACCAGGGGTCAGGCCATATAGGACTGAGGTGAGGAGAAAGGTCTTTCTCTCACCCAGACAGTGGTGAGCATGAGTAATTTGCTACCACAGAAAGCAGTCAAGGCCAATTACATGATTTCAAGAAGGAGTTGGATAGAGCAGTTAGGGCTAAAGCGGGAACAGGCTATTGAGTTGGATGATCAGCAGTGAATGGCAGACTAGGCTCAAATGGCTTACTCCTCCTATTTTCTGTTTCCATGTAATCATGTTAAATAAGGATTCACATGGGACTTCTTGATCCTTTGAGTTCTACTATGCAAGCCTTGGTTAACGATTAGCAGGAGTAGTGCATGGGGCACTTTGTTTTAATATATTTTTCTTCTTCCCCTTTTTTTTAGGTTCCCCCATGCTATGCTCACTTCACCGTTTGAGAGGGCATGCAGGTCACCTGCTCCTAGGCCTCTGCTGATGTTTCTCTGTAAGTGGCTGCTGGAAGGTGCATGAGATTGGCTATAGTTTCTTTTATTATTATTGCACTCCCTTTGGGAAAGCCTCCACATAGTGTTTCTTCTTGATGTCTGAGGCAAGATCAGGAATTTACCATATGCATTATGGCAGGTGTTTCTCTGGCATGATTTTTTTTCTGGCATAGCCCGTTGCTATACTTAGTATATTTGGAGATATTGTTTAGGCCAGCTGGATCTGGTCTTAATGCTGGTTACTAAATTTTGGTGAATCATTCGTCTCCAGATACCCCCTGTAGTAACTGTCCACGCAACAATTATTTTGATAACTATTATTAATGGATGCTAATTCACTGATGTGTTTTTCTCCAACACTTGGAGAATCAGTAATGCCAGATTTGATGTCAGACAATGATGCACAGTAATAGTGCAGCACAGATCCACACAGATTGGGATTGTACAACCTCAATTTTATGCAATGCCTTTTAGTGTAATAAAATTCCCAAGCTGTACCACAAGAGCATTATAAAACAAAACGCTAGGCGATTCGTCTCCAAACTATTATGCACCTCCCAGTGGCTAGTTGTAAAGTGGCATTGGTGGAGGCCTGAGAAAAGGTTTTAGTCCCTGCGTTAGGAGGAGAAAGTGACAAATAATCAAATAAAATTTCATTTAGACGTAAATGGGTTTTCTCTTGCTGTGGTATCACAGATTCCTAGTTTAGTTTTCAGAAGATTTGTAACATCTGTGCTATACATTCCTTTAAGGAGGACTCAAATATGAGATCAGCTAGAGGAATATAAGGGCAGCATACATTCAGGTGAATGAATTAAATCCATTTTGGTTTAGCACAAGGTCCAGGATGGTCTTGAACTGCACTGATATCAAACATGTGTTCCTTTGCTTCAAATATTTATTAGTTTTCCTTTCAAATATGCAATATTCTCGGCCTCAACCGTTCCCAGTGGCAAAGTATTCTGCTTCACACCTACAATCCTCTGTAATTTAGTTAGTCCGAACCTTTGCCTCACATTGAACGAGAATTTTAACTTGCTCACCCTCATCATTGACTTCCCAATCAATGAAAGTCTTTTCCTATTTCAGTCATCATATTCCTCATCAAATCTTAAAAGTTATATTAAATACTATCTTGGGTTAACCCATGAGGTTTTAGCAAGTTAAATTGTTGATATTTAAAGAAATAAAGGCAGTCTTGCACTTGTATAATATCTTTCATGACTTCATATGTCCTGAAGTGCTTGCAGGCAACAAATATTTTTGAAGTAAAGTCACTGTAGTAATGTAGGAAATGTGGTGGTGACCAGATAATCTGTTTTTATAATGTCAACTGAGAGACAAGTATTAAACACAACACTGCAATTAACTCCCTTTGTAATAGTGCCATAGATCATTTGAGTCCACTTGAAAGGTCAGTTGTGACCTTGGATTAGCATCTCATCCAAACAGATGGCACCTGGGAAAGTACAGTATTGCCTTAGTATTGCACTGGACTGCAAATGAACTTTGCACTCAAATTCTGGGTTGATAGAGCCCACAGCATTCTGACTCGGCAAGAATGTTTTTAAATGGTTCTGTAGTTGAGTCGTGCCACTGCATGATTCTGACATTGGAGGAGACGTGACTGATTGTGCTGGATTACTCCAACAGGAATGTGACTGATTAAATCTCCAGTGTCTGATCATAAATGAAATAAAATGCATTGCTTCCCTGTAGAGAACGTGACTTGTTGCTAAAAAGAGAAAAGGTCCCAAAGCTTTCCACCTTGCATTTGTTAGGATAATGTGCAAATTCCAAATGATCGCGCTAATTTTTAACAAGTGGAGAAAAAGGGTGCTGATTAATTGACAAATTGACTCTGATTTACCAAAGTTTTGCCACAGAGAAAGTAATGGAAACTATAGACTCCATATTTACAGGCAATTTTACAAAAACACTTTTCTTTATTTACTCAATGGATCTTGGCAGTACTGTCACTTGTAGCAAATGTAAATGAGCCACATTACAAGCTTGACTGTCTGAAATTGGTAACTAGTTGTAGTGGTATTAACAACACTTGGGATCGTACAGTAAAAGCTACCCTTTCACACAATCGCATCCAACAATAAATATTTTGTTTAAGGTTTCACAAGTGTGAGTTGGTTGAATTAGGTTTATACTGTGATTAGGAACAGATGGAGAAACAATATTGTTTGGTTCAGGAGACTGCCGCAGTTCAAGAAGGTAACTCGCCACCACGTTAAGGGCAATTAGGAATGGGCAATAAATCCTGTCCCAGCCAACGATGCCCATATCCTTTGAGTGAATAAAGAGGGAAATAAATCACTGTCATCGGGATACATGGCCTATGTACCAGACATCACACTGGCACTGAAGTTAATTGACAGCATTGCTTGGTTATGTGGTAGGCAGAATTTTGGTTCTGGACTGACAGCATGCTGTTTGTGGAATATACAATCAAGTTATCACTGCATAGTAGCTATGTGTAATGGCTTGTTTAAATTCCTAGCCCTTTCCAGGTCTAGCTTACATGAACTATAGAGAGAGGCTGAATAGACTGGTGTTGTTTTGCCCGGAGCATCAGAGGCTGAGGTTTATAAAATCATGAGGGGTATGGAAAGGGTGAATAGCCAAGGTCTTTTCCTCAGAGTAGGTTTAAGGTGAGAGGGGAAAGATTTAAAAGCGACCTAAAGGGGCAACCTTTACACACAGAGGGTGGTGCGTGTATGGAACGAGCTGCCAGAGGAAGCGGTGGAGGCTGGTACAGTTACAACATTTAAAAGGCATCCGGATGGGTACATGAATAGGAAGGGTTTAGAGGAATATGGGCCAAATGCTGGCAAATGGGACAAAATTAATTTAGGATATCTGGTCGGCATGGACACGTTGGACCGAAGGTTCTGCTTCCATGCTGTACTATGTGACTCCAGATTCTCAGCAATGCAGTTGACTCTTAACTGTCCTCTGAAATAGCATAGCAAGCCACTCGGATCCAGGACAATTGAAGTTGGGCAACAAATGCTGCACATTCCCATGAAAAAATGTGGGCAAAAATAATCTCCAGTCATCAGTTGTGCTGATTCCTTTGACCAGTGAGGAAAGTGGAATCTGTGGCTGTCAGGAGAGGTTCTTTGATATTTCTGTTAACTGTATCATTTAAGGTTAAGTGGGGATTATTGATCAGGTGGTTACTTGAGACATTGGCACGGTGAGATTTCCACTGTGGTGAAACCTATTTTTCACTCTAAATAAATCAAAGTAATGATTGTCTGTTGTTTCTTCCTTCACTGTCTGGCTTTATTTCTGAACAAAACCAAAAGTTGCTGGAAAAGCTCAGCAGGTCTGGCAGCACCTGTGAAGAAAAATCAGAGTTAATGTTTCATGTCCGGTAACCCTTCCTCAGAACGTCCTCAGATGTTTCTTCACAGATGCTGCCAGACCTGCTGAGCTTTTCCAGCAACTTCTGTTTTTGTTCCTGATTTACAGCATCCACAGTTCTTTCTTTTTATAATAATTCCTCCCTGGTTCCCTACCAAAGTCCAGAAGACCAATGCTGCCCACATGATAGCAGTGGACATCTCACTGCTATCTTCCCTCCACTAGTATTTCTCAGTGCCTTTGTTCCCTCCGTTGGAACAATACCAAAGGTTTCAGACATCCCGTCTTTATTGTATCTATTGTCTTTCAGTAAGTTTGGCTGCCAAAAAATATAACTTCAGAAAATGTTTAAATTCCTTGGGGAGGTAATGGCCTGGTGGTATTATTGGTAGACTGTTAATCCAGAGACCCAGGTAATGACCTGGTTCAAATCCTGCCATGGCAGAAGGCACAATATGAATTTAATAAAAATCTGGAATTAAGAATCTAATGATGACCATGAATCCATTGTCAATTGTTGGAAATACCCATCTGGTTCACTAATGTCTATGAGGGAAGGAAACTGCCATCCTTACCTGGTCTGGCCTACATGTGACTCCAGACCCACAGCAATGTGGTTGACTCTTAACTGCCCTTTGGGCAATTAGGGATAGATAACAAATGCTGGTCTAACCAGCGACGCCTTGAACCTATGAATGAACAAAAAAAACTTTCGAATTTATAGCCTACTGAAGAACTGTTTCACATGTTCTCCACTCTCTTCATGCAGAAGTTAATGTATTCATAATTTTAACCCTTAATCTACGTATTACTGTTCTCTAGTTTGTGTCAGAATATATCATCTCAAAAACATACATAGGTAGAAATTTCCCATTATGAGGTACTATAATTTTGGATGACTTCTGAATATAGATTCTTACTACAACTACTTCAGATATTCCTTTCATGTGCTGTGGCTAATGTTTATTGTTAAATAATGTTCAGCAACTGCTGTTTCTTTTTTTTTAGGTTTCTTGATAACAGGCTCTTTGCAACTTGCTCTGATGATACTACAGTAGCACTGTGGGATTTACGTAACCTCAACTCAAAAGTCTGCACGCTGCATGGCCATACTAGTTGGGTAAAGAACATTGAATATGATACAAATACAAGACTGCTGGTAACATCAGGATTTGATGGGAACGTAATCACATGGGACACAAATAGGTTGGTATTTTGCATTTTTTTTTTAAACAAGCCTTTGTATGCTGAATAAACTGTGTTTGTATTATGTAAGATTGTACAAGTCTGGAAGGAAATATAAAGTTGTGCAAAATTAATTGTAAAATACTATTTTTAACCTTTGGAAGGCATCACTTTTTTGCTACTATCTCTTGCCCAAAGGGTTAAATCTTAACAACAGAAATACATTTCAAGAACAGTTTTTCAGCAAGAATAATAGATGAGATTTTAAAAATAAAACTAGCATGTCTTTCCTGCGTAGGTCTGCTTTGTCATTTTGTTGAGGCACAGTTTCAAAGTTCTTTTTATCAACCTGTTATGATGCACCTCTGTGGCAGATAGGACTTGAACCTGGACCTTCTGATTTAAGAGATAGGAGCATGACCACTGTGCCACAACACCTGAAGTGCAATTTCTATGTCAACATTTTTAATGAGGAAAATTATATGTCACTGTTTATCTAGTCACTAATGTGACATTTCATTCAGGATTGCCATAGTTTTGTTTTCCACTTCATAATTGGGTACATAGATGTATTTTCAACCAGTTGGGGGTGGAATTTTAATTCAATTAATAAATCTGGAATATAGAGCAGTATGGTGACCATGACACTATCACCAATTGTCATAAAAATCCATTTGATTCCTTTAGAGAAAAGAATCTATATATTTACCCAGTCTGGCCTACGTGTGGCTCCAAATCCACAGCAGTGCAATTTGCTCCTGATTGCTCTCCAAAATGACCTAGCAAGCAACTCTGTTAAAGGACGATTAAGCATTGTCAACAAATGCTGAACTTGCTGGCAATCATTGCATCCAATGAAAGAAAATTGTTTGAAAAATGGGAAAGCAGGATGGATTGATCAGAGTGATAATGACTGTGGAGAGGAGGGAAAAAGAACCCATCCATGTAACAGCCCTGGAAACTTACTTATGTGATGTTGAAAAGGTTATGTCTTCAGTGCCAGTCATATATTTTAAATATTGATTAAGGAATTGTCTTTTTTCAACTTTTATGCTGGTTACTTATTGCTTTGATTATCTTGGTTGTTATTTTTCACTGAGGAGGCAGTAACTTGAACCTTGGAACAAGAAGAGACCATTTCAGTTCAGTTTTCTTATCTGCTTATATGGTTACCTCATTCAATGATTTGTCACCATCTTTACACTTCCTAATCCCATGTAAACTTTTTTTTAACATTGTCATTCATTGATGATGCTGTTAAGGCCAGCATTTAAAGTCCACTGCTAATTGCTCTTGAGAAGTGATGGTAAGCCACCTTCTTGAATGAATTTCTTGGCCATTCGGAGGGTAGATCTGAGGTCAACTTAGAAATTTAATTCCAGAAAGAGTAATTTGGTAATGGCTTGGTTACAATTATTAATGTCAACTTTTAATTCCTTTTGGTTGAGAGATACTTTGTAAAAGATCGTACAGGATGTGATAAGTGGAACCGAAAACCATATATATCCTTCATCCAAGTTGGTCCCAAGGTTTTCAGATAGAGGATTCCTGACCTGTATTGAGTCAAACACATTAATGGCAACAAAATGTTTTTTTTGTGACCCACAATACTTAGGCTTAGTATTTATTGGTGATGTGATTGCTGTTTATGGCTCTCTGAATAGAGTTATAGAGTCGTACAGCACGGAAACAGACCCTTCGGTCCAACTCATTCACGCTAACCAAATATCCTAAATTAATCTAGTCCCATTTGCCAGCATTTGGCCCATATCCCTCTTAAACCCTTCCTATTCATAAACTCATGCCTTTTAAATGTTGTCATTGTACGAGCCTCCACCACTTCCTCTGGCAGCTCATTCCATACACACACCACCCTCTGTGTGAAAAAGTTACCCCTTTAGGTCCCTTTTATATCTTTCCTCTCTCACCTTAAATCTATGCCGTCTAGTTTTGGACTCCCCTACACGGGGGAAAAAAACCTTGGCTATTCACCCTATTCACGCCCCTCATGACTTTATAAACTTCTATAAGGCCATCGCTCAGCCTTTGGCACTCCAGGGAAAGTAGCCCCAGCCTATTCAGCCTCTCCCTATAGCTCAAACCCTCCAACCCTGGCAACATCCCTTGTAAGAAACAAAAACAGAAGTTGCTGGAAAAGCTCAGCAACTCTGGCAGCGTCTGTGAAGAGAAAGTCAGAGTTAACTTTTTGGGTCCGGTGACCTTGTAAGCCTTTTCTGAACCCTTTCAAGTTTCACAACATCCATCCTATAGCAGGGAGACAGAATTGCACGCAGTATTCCAAAAACGGCCGAACCAGTGTCTTGTACAGCCGCAACATGACCTCCCAACTCCAATACTCAATGCACTGACCAATAAATGCCTCCTTCACTATCCTATCTACGTGCAACCCCACTTTCAAGGAACTGTGAACCTGCATTCCAAGGTCTCTTTGTTCAGCAACACTCCCCAGGACCTTACCATTGAATGTATATGCCCTGCCCTGATTTGCCTGGCCCAAAATGCAGCACCTCACGTTTAACTAAATTAAACTCGATCTGCCACTCCTCAGCCCATTGGCCCATCTGATCAAGATCCCGTTGTACTCTGAGGTAACCACCTGCGCTGTCCACTACACCACCAATTTTGGTATCATCTGCAAACTTACTAACCATATCTCCTACGTTCACATCTAAATCATTTATATAAATGACAAAAAGCAGTGGACCTAGCACTGATCCTTGTGACACACCGTTGGTGACAGGCCTCTGACCTGAAAAGCAACCCTCTACCACCACCCTCTGTCTTCTGCCTTTGAGCTGTGTATCCAAATGTCTAGTTCTCCCTGTATTCCATGTAATCTAACCTTGCTAACCAGTCTGTCACAAAGAACCTTGTCGAACGCCTTACTGAAGTCCATGTAGATCATACCCACCGCTCTGCCCTCTTCAATCCTCTGCGTTACTTCTTCAAAAAACTCAATTAGGTTAGTGAGGCACAATTTCCCATGTAAAAAGCCATGTTGACCATCCCCAATCAGTCCTTGCATTTTCCAAATACATGTACTTATTAATTTATAATAGTACTGTCATTGTAGGGAGATGCTTGACTGTTCCCATGTGATGGCATTACAGACTCAGTGCATAATTCAGTGACTAGTAAATAGGATTCTTCATAGAATAGAATTTTACAGTACAGGAGGATGATTCGGTCCATTGTATCTGTGTGGCTCCCAAAAGCCAACCAGTTCGTCCCATTCTTCATCCCTATTCCCATAGCCTTCTAACTTCTTCACTTTCAAATATATATTTAGCTCTATTTTTGAAACTTCCTATGGAGTTTGCCTCCACCACTCTCCCAGGCACGGCATGCCAAATCCTAACAACTTTCTGAATAAGAGATAGTAGGAACTGCAGACGTTGGAAAATCCGAGACAACA